GGAAAACTACCCGAGTAGTTTTCCTGCCAGATGAATGGGGCACAGTCAGCAGTGCCAAAAAGGAATGAGTGGAGTGTGGACAGAGGGCTGGTTGTTCATACACAGTGAGTCTCAGACTTGCGCGAAAGGACCAGGGAGGGGCTCCCTTCTCCCCCTCCCCCATCACCCCCTTTTCCTCTTCCTGCCTCTTCTCTTGCTCCCCCCCAACTCCCCCTTTTTCCGAGGGGCCCTCTCTTTGAAACTACAGATTCCCAAGATACCTCCCCTGCAGTCTGACTCTGGAAGTCTGGCCAGGACCTGCTTACCGCCTTCCAGTCTGGGCAGGTGACGTACCTGTGTCTCAACTCCTCTTCTGCAAAGCGGGCGTGATGTAGCACCTTTCTCCCGAAATGATGTGAGGACCACACGAGGCAGTGCACGTGCAGGGCCCAGAGCAGTCGCGAGCACGTAGTGTGTGCCGGACACCTCTCCGTCACTGTGCATGGCATCTTTGCTCCATGTTACCGAGCATCCGCGGAGATGTAAGGCATTCGCCCATGGACCACACCTTGAAAAACTGTGGTTAGTGGCATGATGGGCAGGTGAAGGTCAGGAACCTCACTAAAAAATGCTCACAGACTGTGTCTTATCTCAGACGTTTGAGAGTCAGCAGGACACTGACAGTGTCACAGCTGAGCGGGGTGGGGGGACCGTGGCCTTTAGGCAGATTCAAGCGAGAGACCGGAATCATAGCAGATACGCGCCTGTCCGAGTGGTGGGAAGTGTGGAGGGGTAAAGTCTGAAGCTCAAGGGGTGATCCTGAAGGTGGTGACACAGAGCCCAAGTCCAAAGACAAATATTAGAGTGAAGATAATTGACATTAGTAGCAAACTCAGAGGAAAGCCACTTTCCATTTTGCCATAGATTGAACAGTTTGGAAGTGGACGGGTGATACGTCCCGGTATTTGTGGGTGGTCTCTAATGCGCGGGCTCTTGCTGCATCGACATTGGCTTGCTAAAGGCCGACCGCCTGCTCCCCCGGCACCTGCTCTCCTCTTTCTCACATTCTCCTCTTTCTAGCTAGGGCCTGCGTGACGCCACCTAGTTAGAGAGCTGGGACGGCTGTTTGTGAGTCCCATCTGCCCTTATGACCCCACGTCAGTCAGTCAGTCACTAACTAGGTCCTGTCAGTTTTGCCTCTAAATCTTCCATGATTTTTGTCCACCCCTCTTCCCACTATGCTCGCCTAACTCGGGCCCTTCTATCTCGAGGAAGCACCAGCCCCTGCTGGTCTCACTGCCTCCAGTCTTTCCTGCATTACATTCTTCTCAGGAGGCCAAATGGGAATTCTCCAAAATTCAGATCTCATTTTGGATCTCTTGTGTTTAAAACTCTGTGATGGAATTCTCATCTGAACAAGAGGGTAGCAGTAGGTAATTGCTTCTTAATCTTCCCAAATGTCTTTCTTTAAAAAATGAGCTTCCAGCACAGCAGACAGAAGACCCACAGGCAGGGCCTTCGGTTGGGCCAGACCACCAGCAGCCGGACGGCCAGCGCCATGGCTCTGAGGAGGGAAGCTGGGCGGGGGGTGGGGGGGTAGAGGGGTTGGCCCACTGGTCCCAGGAATCAGCACCCAGAAGAGAGCAGGCACCGGGGCAGACAGATCCAAGGACAGCAGGTAAAACAGAGATGGCACCACAGACTCTCGATTTCTGCATGAGTGAGGAGGGGGCCCGGGGAAGCCACTGCGGGAGGGGCGTGGGGTGCAGAAGGCGGCGGCGGGCCGCTCAGGCCTGGAGGCCCTTGGTGACGTGTGAGCATGCCCGTGCACATCCACGCTCAGCCCAGAAGCCAGCGTCTTACCCAAGGGACAGATATGTAGACGTTCCAACTGCATCAGGACGGAAAGCGCTGCCCGCTGCCCTGCCAGAGTCGGCGGCCCGAGCAGTCGGAGAAAGCGGGAGGATGCGCAGGACTCCGAGAAGTGTCTCTGTTTTCAGGCGACCAGAATGTCTGTCAGAAAATTTCAAAAGAATCCCCTGAATAACTACTACACACAGGGAAAAGGTTTAGTAAAAGAGCAGGATATAAAATTCACATGCGGAAATAATCAGATTTTGTGGGAGGAGAAGGCGCCACTTATACACAACTGGGTGGATGGCTGGATCCATCCAGGGGGCAGCTTGACAGAAACTGCAGCCCCTGTGTGAGGAGTGTGCAGAGCACCCTGGGAAGACAGGGGAGCGCACGGGAACACCCAGCAAAATGAAGATGTCGGTTTTCCTTCGGTCTGTTTATAATTTGATCCCAATAAAATTACCTTCACCTGTTTGGGGGGTCGGGCAAGGTAATTATACATACAATTCATGTGGAAGAATAAGTAATTAAGAATAGCTAGAAACACCCTGAAAAAGAAGCAGTGAAGGGTGGCTGGCGTTTTACAGTGCATGTTTGAAAGAGTGTTAAAAGTTAGCCCATGAATAAACAGCGACAGAACAAAGTGCAAAACCCCAAACAAGCACAACTGCATGTGCAAATGCAGCGTGTGGTCAGCCCCATCAGCCCGAACGGGCGGGGAAGACAGAGCCTTTGATAAGTCGTCATGGAGCCGAGAAGGACAGCGCATCACCCCTCACGTGGCACACCAGGGGGATTGCAGATGGATCAGAGGCCTAACTAGAAACAGTAAAACTGAAAACATTAGAACAAACAAGCGCTACAGTTCCCTTTATGATGGGAAATTTGGAAAGCTTTGAATTGTGGCTCAGAATTCAGTAAAATGAGAAAAGTGACTGTTTTTAAAGGAAAGTCAAAAGGTAATTTAATGACCAGCCTGAAAAAAGATATTGCCACATATTACAAAGGGCTAGTGTCCCTGAATAAAAGCAATTCACTTAAAAATCGCAAATGGTACTTAAAAAGTCCTGGACAGACTTCCCCAGAGGAGACATTCAGGTGGCAGTTGGCACACGAGGCAGATTAAAGCTGCAGGGAGACCCACAGCACTGAAGCCTGGAGCTGGAGAGAACGCAGGGACCCCTGTGGTCATGCACTGGTGGTGGGGACGCAGAATGTCCCCTCGCCCGGGAAACACTCGGGCAGAGTCTTAGAAACCAGACACGTGGACCACACTCTCAGGTGTTCACCCTGAGAAAAGGAAGCGTTTGTCCTTACAAAGACTGGTACGAGTAACATGCGCTGTGCTAAGCTGTATCCACTGGAACCGTAATCTGGAGACAATGCTGAGTCCCATCGACAGTGAGAGGGTAAATTTTGGGAAGTGTGTGCAGCAGGGCGCTGCACAGCATGAGAGACAAGTGAACTGTTGATGCATTCAACAACATGGATTCATCTCCAGATGGCTATGCCTAGTGACAGAAACGGTCCACAAAGTAGTACATTTCATTTAAGTAAATAAATGTAAGTATCCCGTTTATGTTAAACTGGTAACACTAGAAACGACAGTAGCAGAAAGTCATAGGGCATGGGGGGCAGTGGGGAGAGGCTCCGAGGCACTGGGGGGCTGGTGGGCGCACCGCCTGATCACACGGACAGTTCCCGGGTCCTGCTGAAGCGTGACACTGCACTCCACACACGGGTGGTTCACTGCACGCCCGTTCTGCCTCTGCAAGGCTGGTGTTTACGAACAGATGTGAGTAAATCATCTGGAGGCCTTCCGTGTGTGTGTATGCATGTGTGTGTGTGTCCACATGTGTATGTGCATGCATACATGTGTGTGATTGTGTGTGCTCCTAGAGACCAAAAGAGGTTCGAGAGTCTGAGTATTGGGTCAGATTGATTAACTCTTAATTTTGTGAGATAAGTCAGTGGCACCGAGTAAAAGCCCACGTCTGTAGACATAGTGAAGAGTGTGGGTGCAGTCATACAAGCTTGTGATGTGCTTTGAAATTTTCTCAAATGATACAGAGGGAGAGTAGATGAAAAATACAGATAAAATATGGATAATCGAAACTGGGTGATGTATGCAGAGGTTCGATAGACATTATCTTTGTATATCTTTAATTCCTTCTAAAATTGTTATGTTTTATGACTTTTTTATCCTCAGGATAGAAACCAAGGCGTTTCTCCTTTTAGCCCCCCACAGTTTAGAACCTGGTTCTGTGTCCAGTGGCCACCTGTCCCTGTGTGCCCGTCTGTCCCCATGTAACTATTAATGGGTCCTCTGGCTCTCAAAGCATTTCAATCGGAAAATAAAATGATGCTCGCTTCACTCATCCAGCTCATACCGAACTGGAATTGCCTTCACATGCCTTCACTTCACGCCTGTGTGCCTTCACTACTACACTGTCTTGGTCCGGAGTCCCCATTGCGACCCCCACACTTTTCTCTACCAGACGCCTTCCTGCTCCATTGTAGGAGCCTTGGTGCACACATCACCCCACAGAGGGCCCCCGCCTTGCCCCCTGTGCTGCCACGCCCACTGGGCAAGCTCAAGTCTGCTGTCCTTTCATCTTGGGTTCTTGGCATCCAGCAGTGCTCACGGTGTCTGGCAGTGCCCAAAACGTCCAGCAGTGCCTGACAGATGCAGCCCTAGAGATTCTCGCACTCCAGCCCTCGGTGCCTCGACCCTGGAAGGTGTGCGTCCCTTCCTGAGACCACGGGGCGTGGCAGTGGCCAAAGCAGCACTCGTGGCTGCGTCCGTGCCCCGTGCAGGGATGCAGTGAGCTGTTTCAGGGAGTGTCCGAGGTGGCCCTTCACTGAGACAGTGGGTGTCTGCAGAGCAGAGTGGGGGGGCTCTGACAACGCTGCCGTATTTCCAATGCTTATTAATCCAAAACGCAGCCAGACTGTGCCACCTGGCCTTTTGACCTGTGTCCCCTTTCTCATGACGCGCCCAGAGCACCAGCCATGTGGGAAGACCGCAGCTGCTCCCTCACGTGCTGCGACCTGGGATGCGATGCAGGGTGCTGGGGCCTCTATCGGCGTAATGACTTTAAAATAAAAAAACACTATTCAGAGATCTTGCACTTAATGTCTGTTTTTCTTTACACTGTTCATAGCGTCGTCTTGGAGATGCAGCCAAGAAAGCCATCAGCAAGCTGACGACCAGAACGGTGAAGAAGGGCGACAAGGTACGGTGACGAGGTGCCTGTGGCACTGCTGAAGGAAGACGGCGGTTAGCGCTTGAGCTGGTGGGAGAGAATGTTTATTCCCTGGCCATTTGCATCTCATTTCTTAGAGTATAATTTTCTCTAGGTATATTCTAACGCTCTGCTCTGAACTGGCTTCTCCTTGACATCGTGTACCTGGCGTGCCTGCCATTTGGAGGCCTGGGCCGGGGCTCGGCTGGTGATGGACTTCCCGAACCCCGGCTGTGATTATCTTCGCCGGGTGATGTGGAGTCACACCGGCCGTGGTGCTCCCAGAATTTCCTTCTCCCGAAACCGAGTGTGCTTTGGGGAAGAACATGGAGTGGCCAGGAGTGCGTGGCGTCCTGTCCGCTTTCTGAGACTTGGCCACGTCTCCTTCATGTCTCCTTTCTTCGCCCGTTACATGGAGCACCGATTAGCAGGGGTTTTCTCTGTGGGCCCTTGGGCAGCTGGCAAGGAGGGCACGGCATGTCAGGGCCGGACCGGAGAGGCGGTGACAGCAGCTGTGGCTGAGACCGTGCACGTAGTGCCCATGAGGACAGGACAGCAGCTCAAAGCGAGATTGTCACAGTTACCCAGAGCGAAAACATCCCCGCTTTGGAAGCGTGACACCAAAACCGTCCTCAGGCCTCACCCGGCTCCGCTGCTTCCTCAGAGAGCTCGGGCCAGTTCAGACGGCCTCTCACCTCAGCCTCACCACGCGATTGCTCAGCTCGTTTTATCCCCACGGCCTTGGCCTCGCCACACCCTTCCCCCCGACATGTCAGCACACTTCACTGCGCACTCGGGCAGAGAACAGGGCACACGGCAACCGGAGACGGGCGAAGGGGCGGCCCCGCTGCCCTCACCCCGCCCTGTCCCCAGGCTGGCACAACATGGCGCTTCCTTATGGAGGCCCACACCTCCTCTGCGTGTGGCTCCCCGGCCCTGCCAGGAGGTTGCGAGACAGATGGCGTCACCTGTCCTGGCCCGGGTTCCTGGAGATGCTGCATTTGACGGCGACGTGGGGACACCCCTCCCCACACCAGAGACAGAAGGGCCTGGTTGCTCTGCACGACTGGGCACCCGGTTGAACCTTCCTGCCTCTTGATAAGGTCCAGCATCTAGTTGAGCCCAAGAGTTCCGCACCCAGATCTGTGACCGTCCTTGGAGTGGGTCTCCAGGGAGCCCTCTGCTGGGGGCACCAGGAGAGCACCAGGAGAGGAGGTGCACAGGGACACCTACAGGCCGGGGAGAGACACAGCAGGAGTGGGGACCAAATATGAGCTCGGTCCAGGGTCACAGGTGGTTTGAATCTTGAAAATAATTAGAATTCTGACTTCTGTTTCACAAATAGAATTAGTATTAATTTTTACAACATACTTCCAAGACATACTTCCGGTTTAGATATAATTGAGGTCCATACAGTTAAGCAAGGGGACATATGAAGTTTTTTCATAACCTTTCGCTTTGTGAGAACTTGTCTCCAGTCGTGGCTGCAGGAAGGTTTTACTGGGGTCGCTTCTCCTGCACTGGTGCAGTTTGGGCCGTGGTACATGACTCCATTTCTGTGTTCTGCGTTCCAGGAGACAGACCCGGATTTCGACCACTGTGCCGTCTGCATAGAGAGCTACAAGCAGAACGATGTGGTCCGGATCCTGCCCTGCAAGTACGTCGACTTCCTTTACTTAAAAGAGCACACGGCCAGAGCGGTCTGTGCCCGCCTCCCTGCGTGCTGCCCCTGAGGGGCTGCGGCGAGTGGTGGGCCGCACGAGCCTTCCTGTGGTCCTGGAGTTACGAGAAACGCAGGGCACGACCTCCAGCCACCTCCGTAGTCTAGAGAGCATTAAGGTTGCAACTTGAACTCCGTGACTTCGGCGGGTTTAGAAACTAGCCCTCGTTCCTCCCCTCCTGGAATCCGAACTCGTCCCAGGCCCCAGGCGCATCAGCAGCACACACGCGGGCAGGGCACCCGAACTTGGGGACTGGGGTGGTCCTTTTCTGAACCTGGGTTAGGTGGAGCGGGAGGGTGGCTGGGTGCTGTGTGGAAAACACCTGTCGAGAAGCCCAGAATCAAAGACGTTTTCTCTCCCACCTCCCTGAGCTCACAGCACATCCCCACAGCTGCGCCGTCTCATCGTGCTGGGTGCACACGGGGGAAACACGTGGCAGCGCTTGTGTCCATGAGCCTCCGGCGCAGGCAGCAAACACAAGGCCCCTGGCGAATCCCGCCCTCCACCTGGTTTTATCCAGCCCGGCACCTCGCTTCTCCCCGGTGGCAGTGCCACGCTCTCGAGTAACTGCTAAGGAGCAGTTACATGTACACAGTCCTGAAACCTCATTCAGCCCTTTGAAGGCGACCGAGGCTGGTGTGGCTCCCAGTGAAAACGACTTTGGCACCCGGCCTCCTCACGATAAACAGTATGATTTTATGACAGAGTGATCTGTTTTGAGCCTAGGAAAATCTGCTTTTTAGAAAAACCATGGAGCCTAAGAATAATTCGTTTACACATAAAAGTAAATCTGTGAGACTAAACGTGAGCCATCTATGGAAAGTTCGATGAGGCAGTTACCAGTTTTCTGCTGTGTGGCCCCTCAGGGGCCAAAGCAGGAGGCAAAGGGAGATGCCTCTGCAGGTCGGGAAGAGGTCAGCGCACACGTCAGAAAGTGTAGCCAACTCTCACCTGTTTTTTTAAAAATCCATTTTTACCTGCACAGACTGTTGTGACGCCAGAACGACCAGGGAGAAGCCACATATATCCAGATACTGTCTTCCTGTTTTGGTCTAGGGTCCAGAGCCACTGGGGGCCTAGGAAAGGCCGTGGGAACTGCTCGTGGTCATCGCTGACCTGAGCGTCTTCCTCAGGGGCCTCCCCCAGAACTGTGATATGTCGGGGGCTTGCTTCCTGTTCTCTCCACCCCCTGAGCTTCGGCTATTCCAGAGTTCCATTGGTGGTTCTCTTTTTCCCTCACGCAGTCCCATGCATTCAACCCCACCTGTGCTCCAGACACCGTGCAGAGACTTCGGAAGCACAGCCCTGGAGGCGTGGGGGGTGTGTGTGCAGTCGCATCCCAGGAGGTCCCAGTGTGGCAGGGCCATGCCCTCCCTGAGGGTCCAGAGCCCCGGTGGTCTCAGTGGTTCCTGTAACCACCGGCCACCGAGGAGGCATCTCAACCTATGTCTGTAGTCCACTTCTGAGTATGAGAATTAGAATTTGCAAACCTAACGGCGTTTCTTTACACCCGTAGTTCTGGCCTCGCTCACTCCTGCCCTGCCTGTGTGTCCACGTTCCACTTTCGGTTTGGAGCAGGTGGACGTTTTCTACATTTATATCTTGAGCCTCCATAAGTTGTAGCTCTCTCTAAACTGTGTCACACCCCATGCTCAGCAAAACATGTCACCTCGTTGAAATGGCGACAGCAGCGCGGCCCTGGGTGGAGTAAAAGTTAACTCTGCGTGCAACAGCATCCGTGGGACCCAAGCTGGTAACTTTGGACCAGAACAGGGTCTCAGCCATCACACTGTTGACATTTGGGACCAGATCATTCTTTATGGGCTGGGGGGTGGCCGTCTTGTGCACTGCAGGGTACCTAGCAGGGTCCCTGGCTCCAGCCCCACCCACAGGTGTCTGCAGTGGAGAGCCACCAGCCACCGAGAGCACAGCCCCCACTTGCGCGCATCTCTGCTCCAGGTCTTCTGCCAGCCTTGTTGCCAGGGGGCTCCTCTCAAGTCCCTTCCCTTTCACTCTTGCCTTGTGCTGTGGCTTCCTTGTCCCCTCGGCCTGGACACTCTGCCCTTGCTCTTGGGTCTGCAGGTCTCTGTCACCCAGGAGATGCGTGATTCTGCTGCTTCTGCTCTTTGCTCGAGCTGGCCCACAGCTCTGGCTCCTCCGGCCCCAGGTGCCGCAGAGCCCCCCTCGCCCCCACCGGCTCTCCCAGCCCTCACAGATCCTCACAGCAGTGTGTCAGGGTGTGCTTGTTCTCCTCAAACTCCTTCCTCACTCATCCCTTTCTCCCCATCCACCTACCTTCCCTCTCCGCCTCACAGAGAAAACAGTGGCCATCAATCAGCTGAAACTGCTTCCTGAGCCCCCCCACCGCCGGCCCCACCTGCCCCGCCTGCTCCGGCGGCCGCACCCTCCCGTTCTGCTTCTTCTGTTGCTCTGCAGGGTCCAGGCCTTCCCTCGCCAGTTTCCTGGCTGAGACCGGCTCCAGGCACCGCACTGCAGACTCCCTGCACAGCCAGCCCGGGGGAGGGGGCTGCGTTCACTGTCCCTCTTCTCCTGAGCATGGGCAGAAGAAAGGCCCAGGGGCTTTTGTGTCAGTCTGTCTGTCCTGGTTTAAACAAGCCTGCCTAGTACCTGAACTGACCTTGCTGGCCTCTGATGTGTGACCTTTGCTCTCTGTCACCTGTCAGGTTGGTGTGTGGTGGACGGGTGGGAGCTGGAGGTACATGGGGCCCCACCTGTGTCCCCACAGGGGTGTCAGCCCCTGTGTCTTAGAAATGGAAAAGCTGTGACCTTATTTAGACCTCGTTTATTGAAAGGTCAGTCAGCCATGTTTTTTAGTGGATGAAGACACTCTTCATAAGCAGAGTGTCACTCCGCAGACAAACGCACATCTAAGATGCCACTTTGGGCTGTGGCACACCTGTCACTGCACTGCCCCCACCTCGGAGGGCGGGCCTGCCTCAGCCGGCATCTGCTGCCAGTCCCAGCCCCAGGAAAGAGCGTTTGTCTGTGACCTTGAATAATCTTGGGACCTTTTATATTTGCAAGGTCCTTGCACGGCACTGAGAGGCTGCAAGGCTGGGACAACCACTCACTTTCACTGTAGACTCGCCCTGCCCCCAGCACTGAGGTATGCGGGGTGTGAGGGGGGCACTGTGTCCCAGTGAGACTGGTTTCATTCTTTTCGTGTGCTGTGTGTTGCACACTCTGTATCCCAAAGTGTGCCTCGCAGGAATAAAGGACTTTGTGGAAGCTCTGACTTGCTTGTCCTTTTCCCGTTTCACTGTCCTGGACATGGCCCCGCTTTTCATCCGAGCCCACCATTCAGCCCACGTAGGGCCCTTGCCTGCTTTCATGTGGACTTGTATCGCTTTATGTATTTGTATCGAGTCTTTTGTAACGGGGGACAGGGCTTCTCTACAAGGTCCAACTGGCCCAGGTGCTGCCCTTGGTGGGGGGCACCTGAAGCTGGTGATAGGTGACTCTGGTGCCTGGCGCACCCGCCTGCACCTTTATTGAACACGTGAGGCACTGCGGCTACTCCACTGGGGTGTGGTGTGTAACAGCGCCATTCACGGGCAACCTCAGCGCGCTGTTCGGGGACCTGGTGTGTGCAGGTTTTATGGGCTGTTGCCACCACCCCTCAGCCCAGCTCTCAGCAGGAGCAGCTGGGAGGCGGAAAGGATGCCTGTCCAGGCTTTGCCTGGGGGAGGTGGAGGCCTCTGGGAGCTAACTGAGCTCGGCGGGGAGCCAGAAGCTTGAGGGTGGAGGGAGTGCCTGACAGAGAAAAGAAGAAACTAGCAGGGCAGCTAGTCCCCAGCAGCCTGAAGAGGGATGCACCATGAGGACCAGACTGCCGACCTCGGGGCGAGGGGGTGGGGAGGGGTGACTGGCTGGCTGGCTGGGCTAGGGATTGGGGCTAGGGAAGCCGTGGGTGGACAGTCAAAAGGAAATGGTGTGGGCTTTTTAAGAAAATACTTCTTTTGCGAGTCGGCTAAGGAAGGGAGGCACTCTGGGTTTGTCCCTCCCTGGGTGCCCACAGCAGGGGGCTGAGCGCCTCCTGCTAAATCAGCAGACCTAACAGGACTCGCCCCAGTACAGGAAACACCTATCACTGAGGTGCGAAGGAAGAGAGGAGCACGGAGCACTCACCTCGGGCAGCTTTAGAAACTGAGTGTAGGGTGTGCTGCTTTGTCCTTCCTGCATAAGCAGAAATAGGCCGGAGAGGCGAGCGAGGCTGGGGAAGGGCAGAGCCCGGGACAGGGGGCGGGGCTGGCCCCCGGCCACCGCTTGGCACCAGCGTCTGGGGTCTCCACACACACACACCTGCCTCAAGCCAGCTGCCCGGCCACCCCTGGACCCAGTGGCCCTTCTAGGTCACATGACCCTGTCTCTTCTGTCACCTGTCAGCATAAAACTGGCCTCGAGAGCCTTCTTGCACTCCCAGCCCCACCAACCCTGGGCCTCGTGGGCCTCCGAAACACCTACGCCAGACACCAGGCAGGTGCGCCCTGGTGGGGGAGGGCCTGGCACGTCCGTCAGACCTGAAGGGGCCTGCATCCCTGAGAGAGGTGGGAGCCTAGTTCTGGTCTTTGTTAGTCAGCAGCCAGCTGGGCACCGTGGGCAGCCACAGGGGTAGCCGAGCTCTGGGCACCACTCAGTGGCCCCTTGCGGTATGGACTCTCCTCGGTCAAGGACACGAGCAACACGAGCGGACCTGCGTGTCCAGTTAGGTCTCAGCTGCCACTTGGGACTTCTGCCTCTTCCTTCAGTGACAACCTCAGATTTAAACAAAAGCCTTCAGGGGTGGTTGGGTCCCGGTGCAGTGCATCCTCTGGTTCCGTGCGGGTTGCAGACTGGGTTGATGGATTCAGTCTTCGAGATCTTTGTTCTGGCCCCAGAGACGTGGATCCGGGGGCACCGAGTAGGCGATAGCGGGGCGGGTGTGCATTTTCCGGGCTGAAGTGCTCAGCACAAACGTTTCTTCCAAATCCCAGTGGAACGGTGTCTATACCTCTTACTTTTTAAAATCAAAACTGCATTTTTAAGCAGCCATATTTAACTTTGTAAACTACATATGAATTAAAGTTTTAAAGACATACTATGGTTCAATATGGTATCTTTCTCAAAATTTCTTCTGATTCCAAGACACGATTCTAGTTGCTGCCAAGGCCCCTGGCGTGGGCTTGCCCCTTACTGTGAGGCCAGGACCCCAGCCCCTGACCACCCCCGCAGCCCCTCAGCTGCAGAGGGGCCGGAGCCGACCACGCACACTGCGTCCCTCCAGAGGGCGCGCTGCTGCTCCAGGGTGGCGGCCCTCTGTGGCCAACTCGCTCACTCACCTGAGCGAGAGCATCACCTCCTCTCTCTCCCTCTAACTGCCAAAAACGGCCGACGTGCTGTTCATCCTTAACAATAGTCCCAACTGCCCTGTTACTGACACGGACGCTTAGCATAGGTTGGCCACAGGTTTTTTGTTTTCTTTTCTTTTTTTCCCCTCACCCAAGGACGTCTTTTCATTGCCGCTAGAAGGAGAGGAAGGGGGAGAGAGGGAGGAACTTTAATGCGAGACATCATACAGGCCCAGACAAGGGGTCGAACCTGCAACCTTTTGGTTACAGGACAACACTCCAGCCCACCAAGGCACACCAGCCAGGGTGCTTGTAGGTCTTTTGAAGTAATGTTTTAAGTGACATTTAGAGTTCCATGAAACTGATAATATACAGAGAGCTCTTCATTTTACTCTTATTTAATATATTTTTGAAATTTCACTTTCCTTCTTTAGCCATTATAGAAACCACAACTGATTTCTAAGGTGTAATTCATTGTCTTCATTCTTAATAAATTCCCTAAGTTTTCTCATGTGGTTTTTGGAATTTGGTGTCATAAAAAGCTCCGACAGCCGCATGCCACCTCGCGCCTCTCGGTGCACATTCTCACGGGCACAGAGGCCCGGGTTCAGCGGGAGCTTCTGTGGGCGCTTCACTGATGTGCTGGTTTGGCATTTCACCCTCGGGAGGTGCAGTGTGGCGTTGCTGACACCGCTGTCCTTCTTCACAGGCACGTGTTCCACAAATCCTGCGTGGACCCCTGGCTCAGTGAACACTGCACCTGCCCCATGTGCAAGCTCAACATCTTGAAGGCCCTGGGAATTGTGGTACGTTGTCCATTTTGTTCCTGCTCGGTGCGTGGCATCTTTTCTGAGTGTGACATGGCAGCCCAGGGGGACAGTCACGGCTCGGGGAAAGCCGTGCTTGCTTTGCCACGTGGCCTGGCTAGTGCGGCCCACCTCAGAGAGCTCCTGGGGAGAGGGGAGCTGTGCCGGCCACCAGCGGGGCCTCTGGGCGGTGGCTGTTGCTGGAAAGCTGAGGCGGAGGCAGGGACGTGATTCTCCTGCGTTCCAGTGCCTTTAAACACGCAGAGTAGAGTATAGTCTTGGGGCTCCTGCCTCCCACGTATCATAAGACGTGTCACTGCTGACGTTTCTTCCTCTCCAACCTGCCCTCACCCTCCTGGGTGTGGGGCAGTGGCGAGCAGTGAGACTGGGTGGTGCCGGCACAGGGAGCCGTAGTGACCAAGCGAGGACTTCCTGCCATTACAGTTCCTTCCTGAAGAGAAGTAGATGTTCAGGATTTCTGCTTTTTATAGAAAACAACAACTTTCTGGTCTCAAAAAAAAGTGAATGAATAATCTCCTTATGGAACAGAAAGTTCGGTTTGACCACAAGATGAATTTTTCACTTTAGCTCCCAGGGGACAGTCTGGGTGTGGCCCCGAAGTGGCCCCCGCCCCGTTGGCCTGCCGTGTCTGTGACGCCGCTGGCGCAACAGAGATGCCGCGTCCCTGCACCCCAGCTCCGCGGCGCCAGGCTGCCTGGCCGCGTCCTGGCCTCAGCTAGATGCCACAAGCCCGACTACCAGTCACACAACGAAAATGTCTCCAGACTCTGCCAAGTGTCCCTTGGGGGGAAAGTCACCCCATTGGAGGGGTTTAGCACAGAGCTGCTGCCTCAATGTCTGGCCTGTGATAGATGCTTTGAAAAGGCTGACTCGGCCTCTTCAGTTGCCTCCAGCCTTCCTGGTGGTTTTGTTTTCCAAATCCTATTTTTTGAGCTGCTGATACTTTCTCCTTCCACCGTTAGTGAAAATCCTTCCAGAACATGTTCTGAGCAACCAAGGGTCCTTACACATGAAAAACAGAGTCAGCCTGACTGAGGGGTGTCATAATGTGCCCCCGTCACCTCACCGCTCTGGGCTCTCGCTAAGCTGCAGGCCCATCCAGAGTGCAGTGCTGTCGCTCGGGGAGCCATGCGTGGGGCTCTGGCCGGCTGTCACTTCTCTGTGTGGAAGCCTCTCTCTGCCACCAGCCCCAGCTCTGCTTCCAGGTGCTGTCTGTTGTGGGCTGAGAGTGCGGGTTGCCAGGGAAACTGGACAGCCCGGGTTTCAGAGCCAGGAGACTCCGAGTCTACTTGCGGGATGGGGGGGTCCGCCTTGGCCCAGGCATCTCTGCGCCTCTCCTTCAGGGGCAGGTGCTGAGGCCTCGAAACAGCTCTCTCACAGTTCGGAAGTCAGTGCAGCATTATCAGCTGTTGCCTTGGAGTCTGACTTGTGTCTAAAGGGGAAGATCTTTAAAAACTGGCCCCCAGAGAAGTGGGGCGTCAAAGAGACGTGGATGGGGTGCTGGGGCGCTGCATGTCGCCGCCATCCTGGAGCGTCGAGTTCCCACGCTGGACTCCGTGGGCTGCACGCCAACGCCCCACCCAGCCTGGGCCCCCCCCCCCCCGGGGCGGTCAGCACTTTAGAGGCAGAGTGTTCAGTTTCCCGTTGCGATCCGTTTGGTTTTTCTCTGTGGGAGATTGCCTGTTTCTTTTAAAGAAAACTCTCGGGTGAGAGTGGAAAGAGTAGAGTGAGAAAAAAATGATTGGGGATCACATGGAAAGAACTTGATAAGTCTTTTCAATTCAGTGTCAGTCTTTTGAAATGTTCTTACAACCACTCCCCCCGGACCGACTTTGCAGCCCAGCGCGCCATGCACGGAGGGCGCCGCGTTCGACACGGAGCGGCTCACCCGTGCCCAGGCAGCTCATCGGCGGCCGGCCCTTGGCGACCTCGCTAGCGACGCCTCCCTGGGCCTGGAGCCCCTTCGGACTTCGGGGACCTCACCTCTTCCTCAGGACGGGGAGCTCACGCCCAGGACGGGAGAGATCAACATCGCCGTGACAAGTAAGTGGGCCTGTGTCGGCAGGCGGCCAGGTGCCGCGCCGCGGCAGGTGGGGGCAGCTCCAGGAGCGTTGGGGCAGTGACTCGGTCTGCACCCAAGAAAGTAATGGATCCTTTCATTGAAACGGCCATGGGGGGCAGCGAGGCCGGCTCCATAGTGAGGAGCTTGTGTGTTTGTGTGAAATGAACAGCAGTGGTGTGTTCAGGGGTCTGTCTCGGGTGCTGTCTGTAAACATTTTTGAAATGAGTATAATGCACACAGGCCTTTGGGAGGGTCCCACTGGGCCGTGAAGAAGGGAGGCAGCCCCTGGGGTGGCGGCAGCTCCAAGCGCCAGCGCCCGCTGCGTCCTGGGCTGCAGGCAGCCCAGCCAGCCTAAGAATGGACCGTGTCAGGAAGAACGGAGGGGCCTGGGGGCTGCCCGCTTCATTTCACTCCATTCATGAAGGTGGGTGTTTGGGCACTGACCTTGGTGGTGCAGCTGTGCACCGGTTGTGCCAAGGGGAAGTGTGCCCCGAAGCTCATGGGCTAGAGGTGACTGTCGCTGGTGGGGAGAGGAGCACCGGGCTTCGGGCGGCCAGGCCTACGTGCAAGCGGCTGGAGGGTGTTCGTGGGGCTGTGTGCACTGTCTCCCGTGACCAGCGCTGTCTGCCTCAGTTCCACTCTGTCCTTGTCGCCCCGTCTAACCGCACCGCACTTGCCTCGCCGCACTCTGCGCTGCCTTCCCCAGCGTGCACTGTCGCTTGCCTGCAGCTTCAAGCCCTAAACCTCTGGGGACTCCGCTCAAGTAGGAGTCGGACCTCGGGGAAGCCATTCAAACAGGCCTTCCCCTCTCACAGTGAGCCTCCTGCGGGCTGTCCGTGAGTGTGCACACGCTTCTCACCAGCCACGCACCGTGGGAAGTCACGGCCCAGGTTCCGGGCCGCCATGGGTCTGAACCCAGGGACACTCTGCTCAGCTCTGAAATAAGTAAAACTGGTCTTCCACATGGTTTGACTCATTTCTGACCATTGCACAATCATTTGTTTTCACCACATTTCATATTTTCCTGTTTTGGCGTTGAGGTTTTTTTTAGTTTATCTAGTAGTAATAAAGGAGATAAGAGTTTTCTTTATTAATGAGTTCTGTAGGCCCTTCATTGATCAACATTTATTGAGCACCTACTACAATATTAAGTACTGAATATCAAGTACATATTTTATGTGCAAATGTCCTTTTAAAATTTTCCGTTTTGATGATAAAAAACCATTACTCATTTATCAAACCAATCCCTGTTAGCAGACTTTGTGCATGTTGGTGAGTAAAACTCCTGGCGGAGTTACTCAGGCTCTGCCTGCCTCCTCCCCCGAAGCCTGTCGTGCTGGCAGCCCCAGCGGCTCGGCCTGCACGCCTGTGTGCCGGCCCGTGCTGCACAGGTGCGCACACCCACGGCGGGGACCCAGTGCTGAGGCCCCGCCGCGTGGACCGCGCCCACTCAGTATGGTTTCGACGGTGTTTACTGCCTTTGATGATTAGATCTTATCGCTGAAACTCCACACAGGTGTGGATGGTACATTCAGAATTCAGAAGCACAGACATAATTGAGGTTCTGAAAGTGAGTCTGGTTATCGTGCACAAAAGCCTCTAAGCAAAAACAGTTAAGAACGCTGTGTTATAAGATCCTTGATACTGATGACCAGTCATCTCTTAATTTTTTTTAAATGCCAGTATACATTTTTTCTAACTTAATGTGTATGTGGGTAAAGTGGTGGATTTTGTATAGGCTCTTGAATGTTTGTTTTGACTTAAAGAAAAACCTTGTAGATTCACTCTATGAATGAGAAGTTTGCAATCTGAGGAGCAGAGACTGCGCTGTTATTTAAAAAGAACAACTTGGTTACGTCTTTTAATAAAACAAACCGAGGTGGACGGAGAATTAAAGATCACCACCTTTAAAATCCAGTGAAAGTAGAATCACCTCTTTCTAGAAAAATTCCTAGGCGCACACCGTTCCGTGTAGTTGTAAGGCCCGTGGAAACCGGGCTGAGGAACGCCCAGCACACACAGCTTCTGCTCGGGAAGGGCGGCGCTGCTGGCACCGCGCTGTCCTCTCGGCCGTGCTGCAGGCGCGCAGGGCTTGCCGTGGACTCTTTGTTGAGCCAGCCCTACTTAGTGTGTGCTCCGGGAAACGGTCACATTGGTTCTAGGTTATTTTCAAGGTTCTCGGTAAATATTTTTAGGGTGTTACTTACACAATAGTCTTTGAAAAGTTAAGGGAAAATATGAACTGACTTCCTGGCTCTAGAGCAAGATGCAGTAAAAGCCCTTAGAGCTCTGTGTTCCAGGGGCTCTCGGGTCTTTGCCGGACAGGTGTCTGGTGGGTCGCCTGCCCTTCCTACCAGGGCACGGCAGCCCCAACACCGAGCAGTAAGTTCAGGATGGGAAGTCCTTTCCGGGAGACACTGATGCTGTGTGATGTCTCAACAAAGCCCGTGAGTGACCTGTGCACAAGGGAAAAGAATGTAGACGTGAGTGCCCTGGAAGGCCAGCCTGCGGGCTGCTTGGGGTGCCCCCAGGACCTTTGGGAGCCACCACTTCGTACTTCTGAGCTGTTGTCTAAGAATGAATGACATGCGCAGAAGTGACAAAATGAGGAAGGAAAGGTTATATGCACCGCTAGTCTACTCTGTTGTCACTTCAGTTAAGTAAAAAAAAAAGTCGGTGCCCACATGCAATTCTGTGCATATCTTCACCACACGGTTTTCGGTAGCCACACGCCTCGCAGGCCTGAGGACATGACCCGGAAGAAAGGTCTGGCCGCACTCTCCCGTCTCCCCGGCAGCTTCCACCACCCTCCCCACTAACCTTCTCCGGCTAGGAGCTCTCTGGCAAACCTCCTGCTTCACTGCCTGGGGCCACTCTGGGCTCCCACCTCCGCTGACATCCGCATCGTTGCTTTTGAGGGAAATGTTGACATCGATTTGACTTAAGCCTTCTCCCCAGAGTGACTTCCTCCCTTTCCTTTGTCAACAGAAGAGTGGTTTATTATTGCCAGTTTTGGCCTCCTCAGTGCTCTCACACTCTGCTACATGATCATCAGAGCCACAGCTAGCTTGAATGCTAATGAGTAAGTAACAAATTGTCTTTCGGATTGCATGTGCCAGACGATCCCCAGAGAACATGTAGAGTGCCTTTTGTAAAGATGGTGAGAATTGGCTTTCATCAGTCTCATACTGATTCTGATGGGATCATATCTAGCAAAATAACTTAATTCACGAACAGTAACAGATTGGGAGTCTACCTCGCTCGGCAGCAATAGCTCACCTGAGACCAGATCCAGGGGCTTTCGTTAGCCACACCTGAGAGGGAAGCGCCAGTGCCGTGCAGATGCCGAGGGGCACAGCACAGTCGTGGGAGGAAGCACGTCCGTGCCCTGACCACTGCGGGAACAGCCCCTGCACTCTGTGCCCGCCGGACTTTACCTGGAGTCTGATGTCCTGAGCGTTTGCTGGACCCCCGGCCGGAGGTCAAGGAACAGTGACCTACAAGAAAGAAGCAATTGGGAAGACTGTTGGGGGGCGGGGGTGAAGACAATAGGGCAGAACGAGGACTAGAGGGCAGGTTACAGGAAGGCAAATCTCGCTTCAACAAGAGGAAGAACGCCTGCCATCCCTGCCAGCCCTTCTCCCGAAGGGCTGCTGTGGGGGGTGGGGAGTGCCCAGGACAGGGAGCTGGACGCCACCCGTCAGGGTTGGTGTCCGGGGCGGGCGCCCGGAGAGGGCACGTTGGGCTAGATGACTGTTCAGGTTCGTTTGGATCCCCTCATTTTCCAAGATTAGCTTCCCACAGGGACGCTTTTAGTTTCGCTCAATTAGTTTTAAGTACGGGGCATTCACACTAGAATGTCACTCAGTCCTCTACCACTGCGCAGGCAAACTACCCTGAGATGGAAGCCTCCCCGCCCGGAACAGCGCTGGATGTGAGCACAGACGGTGCAGGCGGAGTCCATGCGCCGTCCGTATTCGGTCCTGTCCGCTCTTTTAATCGATTAGTGCTCATCAGCCAAGCTCATGTCATTGATTTAACTCAGTGCTCCTTGTTCAGCCATAGAAACTATGGGCAAGTAACTTCCCCTTCAGGGACGTGATTTTATGACCTCTCACCCGAACCGTTGACTAGACACTTGTGGAAAGTCCCCTGGGGATCCAGGACCGGTGACTTGTCGGGAGGGTGTCATGGTCAGGTGGCAGCCTTCAGGTGAGTCATCTTGGCCTCATCTAGCAGGTGGCCGGCTGGCTGCATCTGTGGGCCGCACCTGGTGCAGTTTTACTCCAACATAGCACAGGGTCGCCTGCTGGATTCTGGAGGCAGGTGTCCCTGGATGAGACTCCCTGCTGCTCCATTATCGGAAGCTCATTTTAGTCATCGATAAAGTAGGGATAATGGTAGGAGTGTGTCACAGGGTAGAGAGAATTAGCATGTGAAGTGCTTGGTACAGTGCCCGGTACATAACAAGTGCTCAATAAATGTTAGCCAGTCGGCTCTGCCGCAGTGTTTTAAGTTCTGTGAGTGCGCTAGCCATCGGCCTTTCTCATCTGGCACATGAGCTCACTTTCCCTCACTAAACAGGATCCAGGTCAGAGGGGCTCTGTGGGGGCCTCTGGCTCGAGCCACAGTTGGGAGGGAAGCACTTAGTCCACCTGCAGCCACTGCTTTTGCTTGCTCCCCTCCGACCCTCCGGCAAGGTGGCTTCACAAGTCACCTAGCATCAGTGGCAGTGGGGTCGCTTTCAGAGAACTTCTAAGTCATTTAACGGCCCCCTTGCTGCCACTCAGCACTGCACGGGCTTGGTTCCTGCGTCAGCTGTTTCAGAGAACACTCACGGGCTGCCAGCCGTCAGAAGCCCGACCGCCCGGGACACGCCATCCCGGCTCCATGTGCAGGAGCCTGCATGACGCGGAGACTAAGTCATGGGTCCGGGATCTGGGCCTCAGTCCGGCCTGTGTCCCTTCAGCCTGGGGCTGCC